CCTTCTCAGTGGATTTTTTTTGGGTGCACCTTACTTGTACAGTATAAGATTCATACCTTATGCAAACTTTTTCCTAACACAGTATATATTTACTTACATGAAATTTCCTTTGACAATCTGCTTATCAATCTACTTATATAAATGCAAATTTAAGAGGTTTTATAGACCCCTAGACACAATAGCCTTCCTAAGAAATGTCCTATCCGTGAGCATTTTAAAGACCCAAATATTTGAGGTGTAACACCTTCAACATGACAACAAAGCTCAATAAAAATAAAAATAAAGTATATTTAGAGGTGGAAAAAGTTTATATAAAGTTGAGGCCATTGACAATAAAATTGAGGCGTGCCTCAAAAAATCACTAAAAGATGTTGTTTTGATGTTGAAAAACTCTCGATCGGATCCACTCGATCTCAAGATGTATGGACATGAGCAAAATAGATTTCAAATTCGATTAGTACAGCTTGTTATATTTTATCTAGACCGTTAATTTTTAATATTTTCAAGTATTCATAGATCTGCTCGATCTACAATATTTTTCATTAAATTTTATAAATGGAGATGAAAATAAAGTTAGAGGCCAACACAAAGATCCCTGATACTGAAGCAAAGTGTTTCGACAGTATTTGAAGGTGCCATTTACTTTGATTAATTAAGGCCTCAACCTTATAAAAACCGTATCTTTTAGAGGGATTGCGTATGTGCACACAATATATTCCCATGCAATCGCAATGCACAATTCCCTTCATTTCTCTCCTCACAAGCAAAACCACAAGGCTGGAAAATAAATGCTAAACTCGCAAGCACGTCATCCCAAATAATTGTTTTTGTATTTCTTCAAAAATAACCCATATTTTTATACCTAATAATTATTTTTGTTTTTTTTCAAAGGTAATGTATTTTTGGACCGTCAATTTTCAAGTTTTTATAGATTTGCTCAATCTACACTATTTTTTAAGCTTTAAATTTTATAAGTAAAGATATCACAAAGATTTCTAATATTGAACCCATATTTCTCGACAGTATTTGACATTGGGCTCTGATTTGATTGTTTAGAGTCTGCACATCATATATATATATATATATATATAAGAAGATACTACAAAACGCCTATAGTCGAAAATGAACAGTGATTTTGCCTACCCTCATCACCGTCCAAAGTACATTATACGATCAAGATTGTTCCGTAGTGTTTTATTTTTCATTTTTTTTTTACAAATCGGAATGACTTGAAATTTGGAGCGTGTGTTCATAAAAAATAATAATTCGACTAAACATATGTACATCTTAATGAGGCGTACCTAATAAAAATATAAAAACAATAATTCGTAAAAAAATTGACCAACGGGGGTATTTTGGCCAATTTTTTCATGTAAAATATTTTTTTGATATTTTCGTAGATTCGCCTGTTTTTTATGAACACATGCTCCAAATTTTAGATCATTCCAATTAGTAAAAAAAAATGAAACACTACCAGACAATCGTAATAGTGTGATGAACTTTGGACGGTGATGAGGGTAGGGGAAATCAATGTTCATTTTTACCTACCTCATCACCGTCCAAAGTTCATCGCACGGTTACGATTGTCCAGTAGTGTTTCATTTTTTATTTTTATTTTACTAATTAGAATAATCGAAAATTCAAAGTGTGTGTACATCTTAGTGATGTGCACCAAATAAAATATGACAAAAATAATTATCAAAATATAAATCGACCAAAATACTGTCGTAAATTTTTGTAGGCATTTTGGTCAATTTATATTTTACGAACTATTTTTTTCATATTTTTATTAGGTATGCCTCACTAAGATGTATATATGTCCCAAATTTCAAGTAATTTAGATTTATAGAAAAAGAAATGAAATTTAAAATACTACTGGATAACTGTGATTGTGCAATGAAGTTGAATGGTGAGTGAAGTAGGTGAAAACTGACAATTCATTTTCGCCCTATAGGTCATTGGGTAAGAGTTTTTCCATGTATATATATAAT